TCCAGGCCGGGAGCTGCCGCCGCCGCGCTCCCGCCGCCATGGCCGCGCGGGGCGGGGCCGCCCTAAACCCCGAGTCGCGACAGAGCCCCGTGTTTGATCAGGCAGGCGGGCGGTCAGTGAGGCCGGGAGTCCCTGGATATTCCGTCAAGAAGTAAACATGGCTCAGGGCCAGCTGCCGAGCAGATGGCACGTTTGGAACGACGCGAGGCCGGCCGGCGCCGCCCCCGAGCGCTCCGGGACGGGCCCGCGGCTGTGCCGCTCCGCTGGAGCGGGGGATAGTGCCGGGAAGCGAGGCCAGGGGTGGAATAAAGGCTCCTCCGGGAATGGAGCATGTTGAGCATTGTTCTAGCAAAACAGCGCCTTCATTCCTTCTCTCCAGGCTTCTTGCACAGTATCAATGTTGTGGTAATGCATCATTTTGGAAAGCAGCTTTGGGGCTGGCACGCGTTTTTAAACTTTCTTTCCCTCTTTGGCAGTTTTTGTTTTGCTTTTAGTCCTACTTATGATGTAAACCTGAAAGTAGTTTCTCTCCAGAAATCTCAGCTGACCCTCTGTGAGGGCTGGAAGATATCATCTGGAAGAAAGTAACATCTGTAGGCCACGCTGAATGAGGCTTTGGAAAACCTGGTCTAGCGGAAGGTAGCCATGCCCATGGCACAGAGTTGGAACTAGAAGAGGTTTAGGGTCCCTTTCAACCCAGACCATTCTATAATTTTGTAATTCTAAATTCTTAAACAACTGTGCAATGTCCCTGCAGGACTTAGAGTACAACAACAATCTCTCTTGGTCTTTTGAGAGGCTGACAAGGGCTCTCATTTGAGAGCTCTCTCAACTCTTGGACTAACCCTGGGAGTTCCTGAAGCCAGTTTGAAGTCAGCACTGGATTTGAGGAGACATTAGTTCACACTGGCATGAAGAGGAGCTGCACCATTAGTATCACACAGCACTGAGGTGGAAACCCTGCACTTAGATGTCAGTCTGGCACAGGACCTGTTAATCTTGGAGGCCCTTGACACAGAAGGTGCAGTTAGGTGAGTGTAGTCAGCAGGAGCAAGTTGCTCCATGGACAACAGGTACCTGTAGTATGAATAAGCCTGTAGTGAGGATTTCAGCATCCAGCAGTGTTGCCCTTGAACAGCTGTCCATGAGCATGGCTATCCATATGGCTCATGAATGGCTGTTCATTTTCCAGCAGTGTGTGCTCTGCCAAGGAACAACAGCACCATAAGCTCCCAAAACAGGCCAAGGACATAAGCAGCAGAAAGCTCCATGGCAATGTATAAGCAGATGAAATGTATCTGCTGAGTCCATTCAAAGACTATGCAATACCTGAGCACAGCACTGGCCCTGATGTTGGGGGCCTTAGGGGGAGAGACAGCTCCAGTGACAAGAGAGCCCTATACAGGGCCAGACTGGTCTTGGCCTCCCTCCCCCTATCCACCATCAGGTAGCTGCTAGACGTTATGTAGCTTCTGAACTCCAGCACAAGTATTTCAAAGACTGATTCAGGATTTCTGCTCTGGCTGGTAGCAGATACCTATGGCAAGGTAACACAATACATCCAAGCAAATGCAGTTGTTTTTGTTCCTGGATGTCTGGTTCACCCTGGTGTTAATGTCTGGTGCTGGAAGCACCTGGTGAAAACATAAGGGCTTTTTTGCATGCAGGAGACTTGGCACATCCCTGCTCTCACCACCCTCCATGTTTTGCAGCAACTGCTGAACAAAGCATTCAAAGTTCAAATGCAAGGGAATATTTTCTTTTTATGGAAAAAAACAAATAAAAACAAACTAACAAAATCATAACAACAAATGTTATACCCAGAGAGCACTCTGGTTTCTTATCAGCCTTTCCAGTTTGAGTCATCATGCACTGTGCTGCCTCATGCCTGCTTCCTCCAGCCTCACCTTCTTCTGCAGAACCCTGACGTGACCACAGCCTTTTAGCCACGTGCTACTCAAGACTCCCTAACAGAGGGAAGTCCAGCTGCCACAATGGATTAGTGGAGACTTATTTTTCAGTGCTGCCACTGATCCAGGTCCATACTGGCATTCTGTTGCACAGTGGTTTGGCAAACATATTTATCAAGAGGCAAAAGCTACAATGAGAAGAGGGACTTTGCTTTGCCTTCTCTCCCATGCAGTTTGTTCCTGTGAGTTAACACTGGTTTTGTCAAGTCTATTGCGCTTTCCCCCTTCAGTAGTGTCCAGGTTAAGACTTTTGAGCCAGTAAGGTTGTTAATTTAATTTTCCCATCCATAGAAGCAGTGAGGCAGGTCCCGCAGTCCATGGCTGTGCTCCAATCCACTGTGACAACAGGAGCTCGGTGTCCTCCCAGGGAAAGGCAGCTCTCCAGAACCTTTTCCTCACCATTTAACTAAAAAGAAGGAAAGCATAAGACTTTAAGGAAGTATGTTTCTGCAGCAGGGGCAATGCACCCAACAAGACAAGCCAAAGCCTGATAAAGACTCTCTATCTCTAAGAGCATGCATAAGTAAGCAGAAAATCAGAGAGATACTGAGATGTGTGTAGCACAGACAAGAAAGGGAGCTTCCAGTCTCGCTACAGAAGCATGTGTTCTCAAGCAGCTCAACTTTTGACATCAGCTGAACTGCAGTAATTGAACAAGGCAGGCTAAGAGCATACACTGACGAGAAGCACATAAGCCTAAGCTATAGCTCATTCTTAGTTCAGGTACTCTACAGTGCCCCAGATGCAAAGTAAAAATTCCATCTAACCTGCCTTGCAAAAGCATAGGCATGTGATCAGTAACACTTGTTACTGAAGCACAGAAATTTGAGCACTCAGAACCATTGAGCCTTACCCTTTTTTTGATTTTAGTACAGAGTAAGGGAAGAGATTCAGGCTGGGTCTAACAGAGAATCTAGCAGGTATCTATCTGTCTATCTATCTAGAGAATCTAGAGAATTCTAGCAGGTACAGAAGGCAGATTGAACATGAGCACCAGTCAACATTCATACATTTTACACTGAACTGGCATGCATCCATATATTAGAAAACTAATTAAAACTTTATCCGAGGCACTTGGACACTAAAAACTAAGCTTCAAGAAGGAGCACAAATACTCCAGCTATAGGACCCAAACACTTGCTGTACACCACACACTGCCATACACCACACACTGCTAAAATGCACAGTGTGAAACTGAGCAGTAACTTTGACAGAGCAAGGATGGGTACCTGCTGCTTAAGAACTTCCAGAGGCTGCTGTTGCACCCTTGTAATCAACAGGAGCCGTATGGATACTTAAGAGTACTCCCCTCCACTTCACAGACTTACCTTAAAAATTACTCCCCCAGTAGAAGAACACGTCAACATGTAATTGCCCTCAGAGTCAAAAGCAAAAAGCCGTCCTCTTGGGAACTGGACTTGCTTGTAGCCACTGTACCCAGACAGAATAAAAGGACCTGTAGCTTCCCTGGGAAGGTCATACTCAGACACCTTCAATCCACTTTTATGGATATTCCATTGAATAAACTAGAATGAGAAAAAGAGATGACAAAAGCCTAAAATGAAATTAACTGGGATGCAAGTAGAGTTGCCTTTTCTTGCTTTTAAGCAAAAAAGTGGGTATTCCTCACAAGCAGAAGATGGTATTTTAACATCTATATCTAAGTGGCTATATTAATAAAACACAGGCTGCAAAGGCTGTAAGAGTGCCTTCTATCCAGACTAGGATATGCACTGCCTTGCTCAAGCACTACTACTTATGTGTCCTTCCACACTGCATGCAGTATGCTGGTGAGAACTTGCTTAACTCCTCAGCCAAGGTCTCTCCCTGAGCCACACTTCTACTGCTGAAAACTGAGGAACTGCAGAAATTGAAGTGTTTATTATAAACAACAGGGAGCTGCTGACAAGATTTATGCAAAGTGGTCAAGGATGTGCTTCCCTGTGAATTCCAGATCTCAAATGTGGTGATCTCAGAGGCAGAGAAAGGTCATCCTTACATGGACTATCTAGGAAAGGGATGTCACAAACAGTAGGATTTGCACACAAGGTCCAAGACAGTTCCAACTATTGACACATTTTTCAGCCACTCTCTGCAGATTGTATGGAGCACAGTGGTACTGCACACCTAAGACTGCAGTTAGCAGCTCACGTTTCATCCAGAATCTGAGAGTATTTTTACAATTGTTTCCACCATATGGAGAAGACTCCAGAAGTGATCTCTCTGCCAGTTGACCAGCAGGAGGTCATCCATAGCCTACCTTGCCATCCTCGCCTATGCTGTAGACTGTGTTCTCATCATAGCTGAACTCGACGGAGTAGACTTCCCCATCGTGTGCCTTCCAGCTCATGGCGCACTCATGTTGCTGCATATCTGAGGGGAGAACCAGTACTGAACACTCCTCGTACTCACACAGAGCTCGGGTAAAGAGAGGGAGGCCTTTTATGTTCCTGAGGTCTCGGTGACAGCCCTCCAAACCAGCCAGGGGGAGCCAATCCAGTCCCAGCACCCTGTGCCTATACTCCCGCTTTTCACTTTGGCCACAAAAATCATTGTCTATAACTACTCAACTTCACAGGGCTGCTCACATGCTCACTGTCAACTGCAGGCATTCTGCATCCAAGCACCACTGGCACTCCTCCTCCTTCCCTTGTTATCCTACCCATCCTCCAAGCTGCTGACAGCTCTGTCCTCCCAAAGACCTGGGACTGCTGCCTCCACCTGTGCCAGAAGCACATTCCCCATTCAAAGGTAGGAGGCCTGAACTGCCTTTATTGCAAGGACAGGCTGAAGAGGACAAAAACATGAGAAACAGAAATTGTTCCAAGGAGGAGGACTGATGTGAAGCCCTTGCATTTAAATGGATGGTCTCACATTAATTGCTTTCCTCACGACTCAGCTGCTACCTGGCACAGCACGAGACCACTTGGCTTAAGGGGAAATTCACTCTCCTCTTCAGCAGAAGAGAAACAACAAATCCAGCAGCATTACCTGGGTCCCCAGCCAATGTCTTCCAGAAAAAGTCTATGTCAATTCACTCCTGAGAGCTCCTGTGGAGACAATAGCTTCCACCTTGGTCTCCAAGCCTATCCTACAGCTGCCTCCCTGCTAAGGGCAGCCAGATGAGGACTAGGGGCCACCTCACTACTCAGTTGCACAGGAACATTTAAGTTAGGAAATAGCTCCAAAATAATCAAGCCCAACTGTTACTTTAACACTGCCAAGTGTACCACTAAACTATATTCCTAAGTGCCAGATCCATAACATCTTTTAAATACTTCCAAGGAAGATGACTCCAGCACTTTCCCAGGCAGCCTGCTCCAGCAGTGCTTGACAATCCATTTGAGGACAGAAGTTTCCCTAATATCCATTCTAAATCTCCCCTGATTCAGCTTGAGACTGTTTCCTCCTGTCTAATCCCTTGTTACCTGGGAGAAGAGACTGACCACCACCTGGCTACAACTTCCTTCCAGGTAATTGTGGAAAGAGTAAGGTGTCCCCTCAGTCTCCTGTTCCCTAAGTTAAAGAACTCCAGCTCCTGCAGCCGTTCCTCACGTGCCCCACTCCCTTCACCAGCTTTGGTTCTGTTCTTTGGACACACTCCAGCCCTTCAATGTCTTTCACATAGTGGGGGCCCAAAAGTGAACAAAGTTTGAGGTGCAACCTCAGCAGTGCCAGGTGCAGGGGGACAATCACTTCCCTTGTCCTGCAGGCCACACCACTTGTGACACAAGCCCAGATGCCAGTCCTGGCCTCACAGCTGGCTCAACCCCAGGTCCCCTTCCACCGTACCAAAGAGACGAACAATCCCATCTGCAGCCCCGGTGACCAGAAGGTTGCCGTTGTGGTTGAAGGCTGTGCAGTTAATAGCAATGGGCTCAGGCTCCAGGGAGAACTGCAGCTGGAAGGGAAAATCTGCATTAATGCTGAGAAATGGACCTGGGGGTGCTGAAAAGCTGAAGTCCAGGGGAAGGAAGAAAGAAAGAAAGAAAGGAAGATGGTATTTAGTAACAAGAACTCTGGTTTGGAGCCCTACACCTCTAATGACTACAGACTTCAAAGTCTGGCAGCAGCATTTTACTGTCACACTAAACCAGCAATTCACCTCAGCCAAGCCACAGCTTTCTTGGCCATGGCCTCAAGGTTGCAAAACCAGCTTCTGGCAGGCATTAGAATGTTGCTTTCTCCTACATGTCAGGGACAGCACTTCACTTAAAAACACGGAAGGCAAAGGCAAGAGCAGCAACAAAAACCCTTCGGTACAGCTCAACTGGAGAAAACCTGAGCAAAGCATCATTCAATTCATTTGGGATATTTCCAGTCACAAACTGTGCAGCCAGGATAAAAACAAGGCCATGGACTATTCTGAAGATTTCCTCAGAAAAACTCCAACACACCAATAAAACAAAAAAACTTCACCCAATCCAGCAGCTACTTATATAATTTATTTTTATCCTGACAGAGGGGAAAGGAGGAAGGAGGAAAAAGAAGGGTGTTGAAAAGAAAATCAGCAATATTTAGAAAGAGGGCTCCTACACATTGAAACAGAAGACATTCTCAGCAAGCACACTGAGAAAGGAAAGAAACCCAGCAAGTACCTGCTGCTTCATTGTCTTAGTGTCCCACAGTAGCAGCTTCCCAGGAACTTGGTTCATGCTTTTGCCCCCAGAGTTGATTGCTGAGAAGTCAATGTGGGAGACGAGGCTCTGGGCTGCTGCAGAGCAGACGAAGGAGGCGCCACTTGGGCTGCAGGCAAGCGAGAGGATCCTGAAACACAGGCACATGGTCTGAACCTCTCTCCTGCAGCTGCCTCAAGCAAAACACTCACCTATGAGCTCTCCCATTAAGACCCCACAAGAGAGGGCGCCCTGTGAAGGAGGGCAGGATTCATGTGCTTAGTTTTTGAGTGCCTCCCATTTAACTGAGCAGTTTTGTTTTATGCTCAGGCAAGGACTGCTCTCTAGATGAAGACTGTATAGTCCTGCAGTTGCAGAAAAGCAGCAGCAACACTGAGATATTCACTATTAAAATCAACACCATTGATTTACATTTATTTACATTACTTCTAAAAATCAGTATTCCAGAGTTACCTGGGCATGTCTTCATCAATGCTGATTTCACAGAGATTCTTCTTTGCTTCTGTGTCATAAAGACGAACCGTCCCAACCCCACTGCCAAGCAATAGCTTGAAACCAGCAAGGAAATAGATGGAAAGAGTGTGAGTGAGCAGTAAAATGATGCTGGCCAACAACCACCAAGACTTAGTAATTTTTTTTTCTAATTATGCATTCAGACTAAATATTGCTCCATTATGGTACATCCTGTCTTCCTGTGCAATCACACTGAGAAGGACTCCCTCAAAGCCACAGAAGTCAGAGTAAAAACCCTGCTTCCCAGAAAGAAAAAAATCTAATAGGCCCCAAGGTGGGATGAACACCGCTTTCCAGGTCATGGCTCAGCCCTATAGGATGCAAAACATGTATGGAGTCTCAATATCTAGGGGTCCAAGGAAAGAGAAGCTTATGATTGTTAACTGTGTGTTAAAGAGAAAAAGCAAGCCAACTCCTTTCACCCCAAAGAGCTCACACGTGCTTTATCAGTGGTGTTACACTTTCAATTAAAATTTAAGTCATGGAGAGATGCATTATAAAAGAAAATTGAGCAAGCCAGATCTTTGTCACTTCAGTGCCTAATTTGCTGGTGAATCCTACATGAATTTCAGAATGAAGAATCTTTTGTTAGCAAGAAGGAAATAAATTCCACAAAGCAGAAGAAACATCAACACAACAAACAAAGCACAACAACTGCATCAACAACTTGCTTTCTAAAAGCAAAAGAAGAGACAAGCTGTAGCACCAGCTCTTCACAGGTGGCATTTTGGGGTTAGCAAGCCACACACTGTCAGTGCCAAAATGCAAAAAATACTGCCTCATTTGTAGGCCAGCCTTCTCATACAGCCCTGTATCTGCCAAGGGAGGGCATGGAACACTAGCAACAGTTTTAGGACTCAAAGGAATGCATATATTTTAAGGTTCCTCTCTGGTAACAGAACTAGAAAAAAAGGGATATAGGAAACATTTAAACTGCCGTGTTATTTAAACAAGCTCCAAGCTCCTTATGCACACACAAACCCTCAGCTCTTAGGACACCAGTTTAAACCTGGACATGGAGCTTTTTTCACACCAGCACAAGTAAAATGCCACCCCCGCAACCCTGTTTCCCCTCCTCTGCTGTTGGCTCAGGGTATGAGTAAAGCTCCACAGCTCTCTGCTGCAGGCCTCCCACAGGCTGTTGTACTCAGTTGCCTCTGCCTGTCTGTACAAGTTGCTGTGTGATCCGTGTGGAGACAGGCATTTCTCTCAAAGGCACTACTTCTATCCTGCAGCTGTACCCACACTGCAGCTTGGGAATTTCTGTTTCAGGGCAAGTGGTGGTGAACTCCTTGCTCAATACAGAGTGTACATTCCCCACTCTAGTTCTTCTTAGACCCTAGAGGCTTTGGTTCCCTGTTTCCCACTGAAAGTGGAAAATAACTGCTGCCCCAGTCTTATCCACAGCACAGCTGTCTAGAAGTGAATGTGCAACACATGGCAACACAGCCCCAAATCATCTGCTGTGCTTCCACACGCAGACTACTCACCAGCCGATCGCGCTTGGTGGCCCATTCCAGGGACAGCAATGGAGATTTGGAAATGGATGAAGCTTTTGTTTGCATTATGGGGTTAAAAGACCAGACTTTGATGACCCCATCCACATCCAAGCTGGCCACCCTCCGTCCAGAACAATCAACCCTGTGTGTAGAATGAAACTGATGGGATATTTTTCTCCCTCAAATTCTCAGATGCAACCCACTAATCCTTCCTTTCCTGGCCACACACCAGCTCCTTCTGCAGAAATTAGAACTTCTTTGCACCGCATTTCTGCTCACTTCACAGTAATTGGCACAACAAAGTGCACTAAGCTCCAGACACAAAGCATAATGCCCTTAAGCAATACCTGCTTTCCAAGGGAGTTTCTTTCTGGCTAGTACTGCCCGATCACAAAAATCTCTGTCCATTCTCACTGCACAAGCTACATGCTATTTTCAGTCACACTGACTTGACTGCCCTACAACTGAGTACATGTCCAGTGTGCTGGACAGAACAGAGGCTGGGAGAAAGAGGTCAGACACAGCTGATCCTTCTGCAGAGGCCTCTACAAGACAGCTCTCTTCTGCCAGTGCATTACCTGCAGTACATGATGGATGAATGGTGCTCCCCATACTCCTCCTGGCTCAGGACGATGAAAGGCTGTTCCTGCCGAACCCCCACAGCCTCTGCACTGCTGCCAGGCATTTTGGTTGAAGTCTCTGTTTGCTCAGCATGCAGCTCTGAGCACGGTTCTGCCTCAGCTATGTTAGTATCTGTTTTCTTCTCAGCACTTTGGCCCTGAAGGAAGAAATCCTGTGTGAAATACAAGGAAGCAGCTCCATATCAAGCTCCTCAGCTACCCCAGCCTGCTGGGAGAAAAAAAAAAAAAAAAAAAAAAAAAAAAAAGAAGCTGCAACAAAATAGAAGCATTGTCAGCCCAATGTTCTGCCAGGGACCTTTCTGAGTACAAGGACCATGTGTTGCACAATTGCACTATTTAATATGACCTGCTTAGCTGTTGAGTCCCTTACATCCCACTCCATGTGCCCAGCTCTACACTTTTCTGTAAGAATTAAAATAACCACAACATTTCTAGCATACCTCAGCCAATATCAGAGGCCCATTTACATGCCATTAGAGCACAGATTCCCAAGTCAATTAACATATTTCAAGGAATTCCTGCATTCAGCAATATAAGTTAAGTCTGTATAATATGCAGCTCAGCAAACTTGCACAAAAACTTGGCTCTCAAGCCCCAGTGGATGGATTATTTTCAACTGCCAGAGATTTAGATTGTGCACACTGGAGCCACCACTGCAGCCAACTGACTGATGACAACAGTAGAGCTGACACACGAGTCCAAAAGCTTAAAACCCTATTTGACAGGGCAAACAGAACAAATGGAGTTTTAGGAGGTGACAGTATCTGGATGAGACAAGATCTACACTGCAGAAATATTTGAAAGCAGCTTAGCCTTCCCTTGCCACCAGAAGTTGAACAAGAAGCAGATACAGCACATAAGGTGGTAAATCATCTGCAAGCATTCTTTTGATAAACCATCCTCTGAAAATTAAGTGTCCCCAAAACAGTACTGGTGGTTATGAGTTCCTGTACTGTCCAGCACATGCTTGACTAATTTACAGTAGCTTATCATCAGGACCAATGGATCAAGCACTGCATAATCAAATCATCTGAAACCAGAGCTGGAAAAGATTGGGAAATAAATACAAGAATTATTCTGCTGGTTAGTGTGGGGAGGTAACAACCAGTGAGTGACACCAGTGTGAAAGAAACAGTGACACCTTTCAGTTTCCTTTTTTCTCATATGCTTAATACAAAAGGAAGTTAAGTGTATCAAGCTTCCCCAAGAGCACAAGGACCAATCTTTAGACAGCCCAAAAATCACTGCCCTAACCTGGGACAATGTAGAAAAATGAAAGTCATAGGAAACCTATTGGGAAATCAGGCTTTGCAATTTTCCAACCAATGCTGAAAGTGTTTTAGATGAACCATGAATAAAAAGTCCTCTCAAGGCCTTGAATGATGAGTGATAGAGGAACATCTCTTTAACCAACACTCCCACACACAGAACTGTCACACACTGACCAATGGGCAACAGTCCCTCAGCACTGTCTCTCCAGGAGGCACAACGTCTCATACAGACAAAACAACAGCTGAGATGCTGCCTGTGCTCTGTATTTTTTGACAACATGGCTGCTGAAAGCCAGACAACACACAGGTGAACAGAAGTAGTGTGCTGACCTTCAGCAGTTAAAATCCAGGACACAGTTTTATTCTTCCATTAGATTTTAAAGCAGGGCATACCCCCAGGCAAAACTGTGACAATAAAGTACAAAAAACTCCAAAAAGCAAATGTTGCTAGGAAAGAAACTTCCATTCCTATCAAGGAAAGTTTTCTATTAGTTTTCATTGCCCCACACAAAGACTGCAAAAATCAACATAAGAACCTACAGGAAGAGAACTCACTTTGGCTGGATGAGTGAGCCAAGTTCTACCACTGAGGAATGGGGATTTTAACAAGGTAGTTGAACACAACCATTAAAAATGAATGCAACATTAATGAAGCCTCAGCACCAGGCTGCTGAAAAACATGGAGACAAAAGACAGTTCTTCTTCCATTTGAAATCCCAATACTGATTAACTCCCAGGGACACAGAAATAAACCAAGTGCAGAAGGAGTTGATTAACTACAGACCTTCACCTTTGATACACTTATTTCTGCCCAGCAATTCCAAAGCCTAAAAGAAACACTTGCATTTGTTTTACCACTTAGTTTTACAGATACACAAGCCTTCTGCTTCCCAGCCTTGCCATGCAGTACCTGGAAGGTCCCTTTTGACAACAGTTCCTTCCTTTCTTTCCCATGCTCTTGCAAGCGCTTCTGCCGCTGCTGCAGGGAACTGGACTCGCCTGCCCCTAAACCACTGAAGTGGCTCTTCCCGTCCTTACAGCTCACTGTTCCTTCTTTTCCTTTGGCACTCTGGAAGGCAGAGAAGTGATTGGGCAAAGTTATGCTTCCAGTAGGGTGCAGAACAAATAGCAAAAGAAGGAGAAAAGCAACCAAGCACCTTCAAGGGCTCCACAAGCTCTTAGAAGATAATAGCTGTTCTCGTGCTGCATTCAAGCCCAGCATGCATTTGCAAGGCAGGAAAGGACATTTAATTTTTCAGGTGGAAGCAAAAGCTTGGAGCAGTGCCATGCTGCAAGTTAACTCCTTGGAGACTGAGCAACTTTCAGCCAAGAATTACCTGGTGATTTGTGGGCTCTTTCTTCCCTAGCAGCATACTGCCAGTCTGCATTGAAGAAGCCCCACTGGAATGGGCTGGTCTGGAAGGGCCCTTTTTACTTTGGGAGAGAAAAGAGGACAGAAAGCCTCCCCGGGACTGAAGAGAATGTGCTGTACTCCTCTGATTGCAGGTCATATCACTAATGAAAAAAACAAAACACCACCAAATAGAGTATGCAAATGTAGTGAGGCAACCTGAGCAAAGACCACCCAGTTAGTGAAGTGGCAGTTGTCTGAACAACTAGAAGACAGACGTTCGTTTCCAAGCCAGTGCACCACTATGCAGTAAAAAACTATTGGAAAATATCCTGTTAGTGCCTAGAGCAGGTCATTATAGTCACTGTAACCTCACTTCTCAAAATCAGATGGGACTCCTAATTCAAAGCATAAAACAGAACTACTTCGAGAGACATTCAGCATCCAATGTTTCACTGAATACCATTTGATAATCAGCAAATCATATTTAATAATTATACAGCACAGGCCCTCAATATCTCAAAATTCAGACCCAAAGAAAATAAGAGAGCTACAGCCCCTTTCTATGATTATAAACACCTCCCTTCTCAGTCCACAATGCCAAGAGCAGCAGCTGCTTCCCAGAACATTAACTGTCTCACCTCACTCTGCTACAGCTTCCTCTGAGAGCAGAGTGGCAGCAAGGGCAAGGGGAATACAATAATCCTCACTATCTCTATCCACTCTTCAAGGATGGAACTGGTCTGCCAAAGATGGGCTTTGGCTTAAGCAGAGACACAAAAATAAGCAACCAGAACTGGCCCCCAGACTAAGAGACAATTTGCACATGCAAGAAAGGCCACTTCTTAGGCAAGCTTTTCTAATTTACATGGACAAAAATAAATACAAACAATTTTGTCAAACATTTTGTCAAATGGACAAAAATAACTAAATTACCTCATCCCTCATATCACACTCCTCCATACACACAGATAGCATCAGGGCTTTCCACACAGTTTAAAAAAACATATCACAAACTAAACTCTGTAGCCTGTCCTGTGCAAAGACTGCAAAGCACTTATCAAGGTAGTTGAATAGACACTTAAGTCTATTTAATCAGTCAAATTTTAGATTAGAACATTTTGCGTGTGGTACCTGCAACAACTTCTATCTGTCACTGGATAATTTAATCAATCCTATTCCTGTCCTGGGATAAAAAAATAACAGTTAAAGAAGCTGTCTCAACTGTGTATGTTGCCTAATTTCCAGAAAGAGGCACAAAGTACAGGTAGCCATAAAATGCACATTTAACTGAAGCAAGTTCATGGGGAATTCTGTGCATAACTGAGCCTCACAGAAGAGAAGTTCCTTTTCCCTTGACTTTGCAAAAGCAAGAAAACATCCCTGTGTAACAAGAATCCCTTTGGGTCATACAGTAACAGTATCTATAAAACAACACAGGGCATTCACCTATGGCACTGCAGGCACTCAAGTAAATTGGAATCAAGAGACAATCTGCTTCATTTGAGCAATACTGCAGGTACTGCATTGCTACAGTGCCCTAGATGCCCAGAACACCTTGGTGCAATGCTGACAGCAGAGCAGAATCACTTCCATGTGTGCTTGGGCTCTCACTGGTTTGCAAGAACCTCCCAAATAATGGGAGAGACACCCATCATGAATTCTATTACACCTACTTAGGTCACCATAATTTCTGCACTGAATCCCAGGGCAAGGGGCATGGAAATGACCCTCCAGGAACCTCTCTGACCCAACAAAAGCAGCAGAGCCTGTCCCCAGCTCTTCTCCTGCAGGCACTCACAGTTCAGAGTCCCCTAGTCGATCCATGTTGGCCACATATGCAGGCAACTTGTGATGCATAACTGTTTGTTCCACCTCCAGTTCCTCTTTCTTCATGCGGGAGGACTCAGCCTGCAGAGCAAACAGCTACAACAGGAGAAAAGAGCCAAGTAAACACAGGGTCACTGAGATTCACCTCCTTCCCACTCACTGAAGCTGTTTACTCCTTTTATTTCAACAGCTCTAGAAGGGTGGAGAAGGAAAAAAGTTGCTCTGACCAGCTGAGCACCACATTAGCCCAATCAGTCAAAACAATCAGTACCTTACACACATGAAACTGGAGCCTACTTAAAACCCTTCACTCCTCTCTTGGGCTGTCACTGTGGGGACATTAGTGGTGCTGGGAAACAAGAGCTGGGCAGGGCAGAGCTTACCAGTCCCTCTCCATGCGGGCGGTTTGAGGCCAGGGCACTGCAGGCACAGAGCCCACAAGGTAATCTTCTTCCCACAGCCAAGGGTTTGCTGAACTGGCAGGGTGCACCAAGATCAGTGAAACCAGGTCACCCTGAAATCCAGCTCCATACTCTGTGCAACTCCTTCCCAAGCATGACAGTGAGATTAATCCCCACATTATGGAGAAAGAACACCCATCTTTTTTTCCCTTTAGCAGAGAGGAACCTCAGGATGCAGCTTTCTGGAACATATGTGGTTTATGCCTGTGACTCTTACTCACACAAAGAGTTCCTCAGGCTTTTCTGTTTCTGTACCTTTGTTTTTCAGATATATTTATTTTTCTTTTTAACACAGTATTTAAGGAAAGAAAATACAGGAAGAAATATGAGCTTTAGAAATCTAGCTTTCTATTTATGTATTTGCATTGTTTCAGCAACATGAAACAGAATCACTACTTAATTTCAGCTAGCGTAAAATTCAATATTTATTGGCATCCTTTTTTAAAACCTGTATTCTAGAGGTAGCTGGTTCCCCCTCTGACCTGACAAGTTGACTAAAAGGGAAAGTCTAGTTTTACTTCTGTTGATTTGCCAGAAAACTCTTACCCCCGTCTGCAAATTATATCAGCCAATGTGCAAAACACAAACCATAGCTTTAGTGTGACAAAGTAGAGAGTACAAAACTTGAGTAAATAATAGAGCTCTATTTCAAAACATACCTTGTCCTCTCTCCCTATCCACTGACCATCTTTTCAGAACCCTCCTGTCAATGTTGACAGACCCACTAACTCCATACACAGTGACAAATCTTGGGGTTTTTTTCCCCAAGAATTACCTCCTTTTTGAAATAAATTATTTTATTTTACTTGAATTTTTGGGACAGTGTTGAACAGCTATTAAAACAGTGCAAACAGGAAACACAACATACAACAATGTTTTGTAACACAGGAGATAAAGCACAAACTTTACTGAAGTATTTATACAGAAAGAGCTTTTCTTGGTATGTTTGAGGAAGTGAAATTAAAGTTCTGCTTGCATGAATAAGCCTTCCTACTTGTATGTGATCAACCACATGTGATCTATAGTTCAGAAAGTTCTTAAACTGCATATTTTACAAATTTCTCTACTAGAAGTTATACTTGGAAATTACTGACATGTGTTACACCTTTTCCCTAAGTATCTGCTGATGATACTGTCAAACAAGACATAGAGCTGGGCAACATTTTGAACCAAAAGACCCTTCTTATGGTTTAGGGTAAGATCTGGAGCTGGGAAACAGACATTCACAACATTTCCATTAGACGATCTAAATTGCTTTAAGTGAATATCAAACATGGTTGAAGGGGCCACGTCAGAAGTAGCAGTTTCTGTCTCTTTGCCAGAATTTACTGCCTGTTTCTATTGCTTCTATTGCTCTATCAGCTAAAATCTGGAAGTGACCGAATAGTATTCACAAAATCATCCATACATCCCTTCCAACCCATTGTATAACTACAACATACACCCTTAACCTGCCACCAGTTTCACCTTGTTTTGACTTTGCAGTGTAACAGAAAAAGAGTTTGTATAGTATTCAGTCACCTGTCAGACAGCACAGGGAGGGGATACAATCACCTCCAGCAGAGGGACAGGAATATCCTAAACACACATTTCACCCTATGATCACAACCCAAAGGTTGCTAGAGACAATTGAAAGAGAAATCAAAATAAAACAAAATACTTAAACAATCTGCCTTAGAGTAACTGCACCAAGCAGAAGAGTTACAATGTTCTCAGATGGATGGAATCAAGTTTACAAAGCTCACATCACACAGTCAGCAGCTAAAGAGCGATCTCAGTTCTGACCTTATGCCGCAACGATTCATTTTCCTCTTGTATGAGACTGCTCCTGAGACATTCAGCTTCAAAGTTCAGTATGACTGGAACTGGTAAGCAATGTTAAAGAAAATCAAAGCAATAACTTGTGTGCAGCTGGCTTAAATCGAAAAGCCAGCACTCCATACCAGCCATTTATCAGCAAAAATAAAGCTGCCCAGTCCATACAATTAGCAAAAAGCATGTGCATGACCAGAAGATTAGCAACAGCTTAATTACTTAAGTCAACTTTTTACTTTGCTGTTGCACAAACTATTTTACGTGGACTTTGCAAGGATTTTTAGATTATTTCTTTTCAGAGTCAGAAGTGGAGGGCAAGACAGTACTGCTCTACTGTACCCTTTACTGTACCCCAAAGAAACAGGTCAAGATGAGTTGTATTCCAGCTACAGCATAAGCCTGCCCACCACCAAACAAGTAAGACAGAACTCTGTAGTGTGGGGCAAAAAAACGTATTTCTGCCAACAATCAATGGCTCAATTAGAATGAGTTGTCACTAGGCAATGTTGAACATAATGTACCCAAAGAAGGCTCTAACAGAAGAGGCCAGTACAGTTATGGATTATGACCCAAGGTTGTATGCCTGTTTTGTACTATGTCAAGCAAAAGAAACACCATTTCAGAAGAAGACATGCACAAGATTTTTGGTCACTAGCATAACAGTGATTCAGCATCATCAATGACCACAATTGTTTTGACCAGGGAATACAAAATACTGTCAGATAATTGAGCAGTAACTATTCCAACATCCTCTGGTAAACACTAACTTTCTATTAAGTCTTGGCTGTAAAAAGTCACCTGAAAGCAGGAAGTTCTACAGTACTATATCCTTGGCATGACTGTTGAAAGTGTAACACCAGGGCAAGGGAGATTTAACTATTAGTTGCAAAAAAGGATATGCATGCACTGAAATAAGACGCTCAGGAAGTTGTGCAGAGACACAATGAACGTATCTGCCCACTGGCGTGAGAAATAGGTAGCAAAGGTGGGGTTGGAGTCTGGAGCAGGGAGGAAGGGCAGGACAAACCAATCCTTCCACTCTGCCTGGTTCTGGAGCTCGGAGGCCTGCTTGAGGAAAAACTCTTGCGCCTTGTCATTGCGGCCATTCTGAAACACAGCAAAAAGAACGGGGCTCACACTTCCGTTAACGCCACCACATTAGGTCTAGGAACATTTGCTTTTTCTTATGAACACAATAATTATTTTCACCACCTTGACAAAACAAGTGGATAGTTACAGATTCATCAGGAAACAAAAGAATCCCAAATACGCTAGAAGCTCACAAATGCACTTAATCCAACCTTCTTTCTGGTCACCACAATCTTGTTTAAAGGCTGAGAACCAGTTGAACCAAACACACTGATTTCCAGTTAAACCAGTGCAGAGTGCACTGATATGAGCACTCATACACACGACCAAAGTACAATCCAAATTACTCAAGTCTACAGCAGATGCAGCTTGAAAAGGTTTCCATCTGACACATTATTCAGACAGGACTGTCATACCTAAGGGTAAGCAATGGCAAAATAAACCATGAAAAAACACACTTCTGGAAAGATGCATTAGATTTTGACTCCTCCACCAACACCCAGATCTTCAGTCAGGAAAGAGAACCAAGAAGAATCAAGGGGAGAATATAATCCATTGATTTTCCAGGTTTTGAACAGAAAAATCTCTGTTCCTTTTTAAGCTCATTATTTTCTGTTCTATTCAAAGCAAGCAAAAAGGCATTCATTTTCTCTCCCACATTTCTGGTTTGTTCTGGTTTGAACCTTGTGTTCTCTGCCAGTATCTAAGTTAACTGAGCAGGACTGAACTAGTCCTATCCTTTCTGAGGGAAACCTGTCTTTATATGAGTGTATCCTGCACCCAGCTTTCCCCTGTTTCCCTCTTGCCTGAGTTTCCCTATCCCACACACAAGCTTGTCATGTGAGTCTGCATAAAACTCCACACTACACTCCTGATCACAACACACAAATTGCTTGTTCCTGATCCAGCAGGTCTGGCAGAGGCTCACAAGAGCAGCTTTGCTTTCAGAAACCAGGATCTTTATAAAGTAGAAGCCTAAAAATCAAACACTACCTGAATAGCATGGACAAGGTAGTAGCGGAATAAACTGGTTTTGAGCTTGTTGACTGTTGGCCGATACACGTCTTCCAAACGGCTGAAAAGGCGTCGGTCCAGATAACTCCAGTAATCCCGCAGGGCAGCCAGATCGTAGCTCTGAACAAACTGCTGCAGCTGGTCCACTATCTTATCCACCTAAAGAGGGCAAAACAGAGAACACTTCAGCCACGTGAGGGCTCTTGAGGCACAAGACTTTGCGTAACTTAGTGCTGAGAAGCTTTAACTTTGGAAGTAGTACGGTACCATCCTTATCCATTAGCTGTTTTCTAATCCTGGAAACACTCTGCATTTTGTATTAGCATTCTTCCACTCTGCAGCACATTGCAAATGAAGGAAAAAGAAATATGACACAGCATAGCCAAACAGCTTTTGATGGAAATATCACATTTTGTTGAACCCAACTGGTGGGTTTTTTTGCAAGTAAGCAAAACTTTCTACCTCTTTCAAAAGTCAGTTTATAATAATAATAATAAGAAGAAGAAGAAGAAGAAGAAGAATATGAATAAATGTTGAAAACTCAAGTGCAGCACCTAAAAAAAAAAGTATTATTTTTAGACTAAAAGGAAAAATACCTGCATTTAGCCAACAGAAAGAACTCAGCTCCGCTCCACTGCAATCTTTGAAATGTGTTTATCTTTAGTAACATCATCTACTAACAGGGCAGCCATAAAATTTTGCAAAAGGATTTTTTTTTCATGTCATTATGTCTCTTTGGAATTTTTTTCTGCAACATGAATAAGGTGGAATAGTGGTGTGGGAATAATTTTTTGTTCAGTGGTTTCTGATGGCCGAGATAGTCACCAAAAAGAGAAAAATCTCCATCCTCTATAAAATTAAACTAAGGTTGTTTAAAATCTGGTTTGCTCTCCCCTCATGAGCCAGTATGTTAGGACATACCCAACTTTTATCTCTGTGGCTTCCTACAGATATAGAAAACTGAAGTTTGTGACCCCAGCAGACCCTTCTTGGACAATTCTGATTAAGTCAGCTATTTGCCGACCTCTACACATTAGCAAAAGAGCTTTTAAAAAATAAAAGCAACATGCTTTATTGATGATAAAAGTAGTGCTTATATTGCCAGTCAAAGAAAAATCTGACTGCTCAAAGCACTACATTCGGTGCCTAAAACTTGCTACAGGAATACAAGTTCACGCGAAGAACTGAAACTCTGTTTTTGAGACTGGCAAATTTTGTGCCTATTTCCACACGCGAGTCAAGGCAGCTGGTACTCAAGACATACAAACTAAAGAGCGGAGCTGCAAAGCTACCGGATAAAAATCTCACGACCGAGAAAAGATGCAGGCAAAGAAATGTCTCCCTGCCCTCTCGGTCCACGGTTCTCCTCCGTTCTTCTCGTCTCGAAGCCGAGAATGCGCTGGCGGGTCCCAGGTCGGACGCAGGGTCCACAGAGGGCCGGGCTGGCCAGCGGCGCGGGCCGCCTGCCGGGAGCTGCAGCCCCTGGCTCGGAAGGCGGGCGAGGTGATGGAGCCCCCTGTCCTGCGCTGCCGGCGCTCCGGAGCCCAGCGGGAGGGGAGC